TTCTTGTCAGTAGTAATGTGGTTACTGGCAGAATCCTGGTCAAAGAAGCTGCAGTGATGCGTCTCATCACCTCTGTAGCTCCCAGGAGCTACACTCAGAGGGATGCTCTCCAAACATGCCTGTCAATTCTTGGCCCTAGCAGAGATAGTTTCATCTGCATCATTCTCTGAAACCTGAACTGTTACACCAGCTGCTTGCAACAATACAGAGTCAGATGGGGCAAGCTAAGTGACAGGTTAATATAAATCTTTGTCCTCCTCAAGGTCCTCAGCATTGTTACGGATGTTGTCTGCCCACAGCTCCATTGCTGGTTTCAAATATTATGCAACTTCAGCTCAATGTGGAAACTCTGTTAATGGTCTTAGTATCTTAATGCTGACACCCCCCTGCTAACAGCCTTATTACCGTCCTTAAGTATGGGAGACTGACAGTTTTGAAATAGCAATAAATCAGCTTTTTCTGTCATCTGTTTATCTCAAGTAGGCCAGTGTGAAGCAGCCAAAAGAGAACCCTGAAACCAGAGTGTGACTCTGCATGTAGCAAAATTACCCCTTCTTCCCTATTCTGTTCCAGAAATGTGTCTCCTGGGCTAAGAGTATCTAGATTGAGTTGTGAACATAATTGATTTTCTAATTTGGCCACTGAGCTGAGAAATGAAAATATGTTCAGCTTGGGTCAATGTGATTTTTTTTTTCTTTTTTTCTCCTAGGTATAAATTAAGGAGGCAGAATTCACCTAGTGGTTCCCAAATAGGGAGCCACCTTAGTGCAGTAATGTACAAGCTTATGACTCATCTGCATACATAGAGTGTGTCCATCTCAAATTTGAGATCTCAGATCTGTTTTATTGCTGCTGGTGCTTTTCCCCTCTGATTTACTTTTTTCTTCGATTCTTAAAAATGATAATGTCTTGCAGCATTCTGTCTTCCTTGAATTAAAGTCAATAACCACTTTTTCTGACATCAAAGATCACACTTTCGATCAGATTATTTCATTCAAGTTGGCTCCTCTGACCTCCTCAGCTTTTCCCCAGAACTTATTGATCACTGTTTAATTTTGGTTTTCTTCCCTGTCTCACTAAGAGATTTCAGCGAGGTGGCCCTAATTCGCTCTTCCTACAAAAAATATCACCCTATTTGTTACGTTTGGTGGGGTATTTGTTCAGATATCACAGCATTTGATCCCCAAACCCCTTTTCTTTCATTAGTATTCTGATTGTTGTGAAATCATCTTCAGAGTTTGCTCTAGAAGACTGAGATCTCTATATGAATCAATGCCCTACTAAGAGTCAAAAATATTATGTCTTTAAGACAGAGATTAAATAGTGAGGTTAAAATTAAGCAGCTACCTAAAATTAAGTTTTTGCATATGTATCTTTTTGGCATTTTGGGCAGTATATTTAGTACGTGTGAAGGAATATCCAGTGTCTAGTGTGGTGAATAATGATTTAAACCCTTTTACAGAGCTGAGAAGACAGACAGGTACTGATAAAGACTTTTCTGAATTGTCTGTAGTACAGAAAATCAGGAAACTTTTTTATGACAATATGAAAGTGTAATATGCCAACTAAAGATGAGTAACTAAATCAGAAACCTCTTGTCCTTAATAAATGTTACTTTTCGTCCTAATGCATAATTCAACTAGATTAATCGAAATCCCTCTGCTTAATAACTTGCCAGACAGTAGTTTAATATACTGCTTTTGTTGGTGAGCCACACTATTACTGAATAATTTTTAAAATAGCAGTTTGTCAGGCTGATCAAACAGGGCTAATTTTGAACACTTACATTTTCATCCTCAGTGATTTCTATTCCTTGATTACAAAATTAGTCTCCAAGTAAGGGAGAACTTCCTGTAGATGGCAATGTTACACTAGGATAAAAACTAGTAAAAACCCTACATCTCAGTAGCTTTACTCTACCAGTGAAGAAAAGCATTAACAGCAATTCGAGATACAGCTGCTGAAACTGCTGCAGAGGTAAATATCTATAAACACATCATTTGCAGTAAAATGTAAGGCTGATTGGATCCCTGTCATTTGTTCTTATATGGACTTATTGAGGAATCATGCTTGCTAGGGTTTTTACACCAATTCTGTATATGGTTCAACAAAAGCTGATTTGCCCAAATTGTGGTTTAAACAGATGGCATTCATTTGATGGTCTCATCATTGTCTTCTAGGAGAGCTGCCATTGTTCCAGTTAAAAGCATGTCAGTCTGTTGGACCAGCTCTGACCCTCTCCTGGCAGCAACAGTAAAATCTTGGTCAGTTTGCACCTACTTTGTGGGCACCTTTTAATCCATTTATTTACTTCTTCTAAATGTTTTATTGTGGTGTTTTGTGGAGTATTAGTATATATTTTCAGCAATCCATTTGTATACAGCTGTCAATCCTGTCGAATGCTTAAGCATGTGTATTTAAATATCTGAATTTTCATAGCTCCATGTAGACTATTCAGAAGTTGAAAGCTAGATGTGTCTTTAAGAAGCTTTGTTTTAAATTAGACACTTTCCCCCCATTTTCTTGAAGATTTTATGCGATTTGGGAAAATACTTAGTTATTTGACAGGAAAAATAAGTGAGTTTGGAATCCAGCCCATATGCTATCTGAGATAAAAATCCAGTCACAGAGCCTACATAGATAGTATTCAAAGCACTATCCTGGACAGAGAGTTTATGAGCGATCATTATGGAGAAATATATGTGACTAAACCATCTGTTCTGCAACTTCAAATAGTGAAAAAATGTGGCCAAAGAAGTCAGCACAAAGAAATTTTGTAAACCAGTGATGACCTTAAATTAATCAAGTAAACTCTTCACTGTGAAATGCTCATCCAGATCAAGAAGCACAGAACTGAAAATGCATTTCTTGAGGCCAGGTCTTAGAAAACTTCATGCAAGCAGACCACTGCAGTTCTGTACCATCATGCTGTAACTTTATTTGCCATCATAAGTAATTTGTGAAATAAAGTGTTTTAGTTGGAGGCCTGAGTAACAGCCGTCAAATCACGTAGTTGGATGTGACTGTTTTGTTTACTGGGTATAAGGATGGTTGTGCACAGAAAAATTGTAAAAATTATTAATTTGGACCATAAATGAAAGTTTTTCTCTGTTTTTATAGCCCACAGAATATATACACTCGTGAAACCTGTACTTCAGCTGGGAATCCCTTTTGTCTTAAGTGACCTTTTGCAAGTATCCCTGGGGTCTTCATTGCAATTTTGTTTGACCTTTTGTTAAAAACCAAGCTCTTCTACAACTGATATTTGGCAGAGTGATTACTTGAGCAGAGATTCATTGGAAAAGAATTCCAAAGGCACCGACAGGTGCAAGGCACTGGATAACCAGCTGTAAGACACAGAGCTGCTCTTTGTCCTGGCTCCACACACAGGCTGTATGTTATAATAAGGTGTTTCCTTAACAGACCAAGAGAAGTCAAGTTAATGCTCAGGAAGAGAAATGCAGCCACCAGCCAAGGTGGATGAATGAGAGAATCACATGGTTCCAGATGTCCCACTGAATCTGCACTAAGAAACTTAGCAAGTACCCGTGGAACAGGGGTACACATGGTGTCTTCCTTTGGGGCAGCGTGCATGGGATGCTCTGATGGAGAAAATGGCAGTTGATTCAAGAGATCAACACAGAGATAAAAGGGGAGGAAGAGATCCATCTTCTGTTGCCTTGCTCGCTTGCTGGCTGGTATCACATAGTGTATGGAGGGGAATCACACGTACATATGCATTTGGGAGAACAAAGTGTGGAGAAGAAACTCTAAACTGGTTCACAGCTGGTGAGACTTAATTTGGAGACTGGTTGTTTGGTTGTTTTGTTTTTTTTTAAGCTTCAGAGCGAATTCCTTTCTAATGGTAATGACAAAAATGCCTCAGACTTCTGGCCAAGCTTGTACTTTTGTGGCTGTAACTCACACATCTGACACAATCGCACTTCTGGCACTGTGCATTTCCTTACAACATGCACCAAACATTCAGTGTTTCCTTCAGTTTTCCAGATTCCAGACTAATTCTCCTGCGATGGTGTCAAGTTTTATGTTTTTGTATCTCCAGTACACAAATAACTTTGCATGAACAGCAGCATGAAGAGAACTGGTTCCTTCCTGAATGTTTTATTGTGTTTGTGAGATATGCTGGAATATCATTGGAAACAAGGCATAATTAGAATTGAGCCTCCAACATCAGGACAGCAGTGGTGTTCAGAGCCTCAGCCTTATTTCACTGAGCACCTGTTTTATATCACATGAATACCATTAGTACCAGTGATGTACAAAGATATGAAGGAAATGAGAAGCTAACTGGTCATAAGATTAGAGTTTATGTGTTTATAATATGTCTCAAGGCTAATTTAAATAAGAGAACGTCTTTCATTTGTATTCGGTGGGTTTTACCTCAGGAAATGACTGTGAAACCAGGTAAAGATGAGAAATCCATAAATAACAGCCTCTTGATTCTTTGTCTGAATTTTGAAATGAGTCTCCTTATTTTCTTTCTAGAATAATTTGATTAATTTATCTCTTGGAGCTGAGCCACTAATTCAGGGAACAAGTGATGAATTTAGCTTTCTATTTATGGATGGTCCTTTGAGATGAGATAATGCTTTCACACAGCTTATCAGTTGTTTTTTGAGTGTTGTCTTATTTTCTTTTCCATTTATTTCACTCTTTTCCTGGTGAATGGCTTGTTGTGATTATTTGGTAGTCAATATTTAACATGCAAGTCTTGTGGGTTCATTGTGATAAGTAACACAATGCTGCAACTGTCTCTGTGTTGAATAAACATAGTGCAGGAGAAGAGTCTGATGCTGTCCCCAGGACTGTGAAAGTCTCAAGGAGAAAAGCTACTTAGAAAGGGATAGTTAGAAAACGTTAAAAAACTATTGTCTTGGCCTCACCTTGCTTAAAGTGTAATTCCTTGGAAACTTCCTGCTGTAAGGTTTATTGGGAGGGTGCAGAGCTCATCTATAATATTTGCTGTCATTTCTCTGCAGCAATTGCTTTGGGAGTGAGATCCTCGTGAAGGTACAGCTGTCAGGGAAAGACCTGGAACATTTCAGGCATGAATTTTTGGAACAGTGCACCCACAACCCTTTCCTGAAGCTCCATATGCGTGTATGGAGTGTGTTCAGCCACCCCTAAAGAAAAAGCTGAAGCTCAGAATGGAGGCTGTATTGTGATGCTCTCAGTTGTGTGATCTGGTCTCATCTGGATCCTTAAGAGTGAGAAAGGAATAAATGTGGATTCGTATGAAGATACCATTGACACAACAAAATTAATAGAAGTCACGTTCCTAAATGATTCTGGAAAATCATACCTTTACCCTGTGAATGAAAACGGTTGCAATGAGCATTATGCCAAATGGCAGCCATTAGACTATTTTATGCTTTGTGAAGCTGGGATGGCTTGAATATTGTTATCATCATTTCAATGAGAACAGCACTGCAGCATAAAAATTAAACACAATGTCATTCCTGATTTGCTAGAAATGATTGAAGGATCCCTTTTCTGAAAGCATAAGTGTATCTCCTTCTCCATTCTCATCCTCCCCAGAAATTAAGAAATGACGTCTGAATCACTGAGAATATTTTCTGCAGTGGGCTAATTTGTAGATGTTGAGTTCATAAACACTCCCTGCCAAACTACAGAAACCATTTCAGAACACAGGGTGGCTTCAAAGTAGCAAACTGATGTGATAAAATTAAGAATACTAGGACACAGTTTTATTGTGTGACCTCTGTGACAAGTTGAAAAATACCTACTACCTGCTTGTAATCACAGGCAGTATCCAAGTGTATTTTAAAAAGAGTGGATGTTAGAGGCATCCAGATTTAATTGCAGCCTTGTTTAAGAAAAAGCTGTAGTTTAATTGCAGTGTCATTGTCAGATGGTGGGGAAACTTCCACTGTGATAAAACTGGTATGTTTGTAAATACAGAATATTCCCCCTGCCCCTTTCAGGAATGTTAAGTGTGTAATACAGGGAAAATAGGTGAGGAAATATCTTCAGTGAATACCTACTCATTTCCAATCTTCCTGAATTACCATTTTCTTTTCAAACACAGCAGCACCCTACAGGGACAGACTTCTTTACATGAATGCTAAATAGAACTAAGAAAAAAAAGTAATATTTTTAGACACGCTTCCATGCTACCCGCAAATTGATGTGATTTTGGGCACTGGAATAAGGAATTATAAAGATCATAATTTTTAATTTGTTCAGAAAACAACAATCTTGGTAAATGTGCTTTGTTAAATGGGGCAAAAATGTGTTTCTTTTAAGCCAGCTCTTTGTGTTTATATGGTACGTAAAAGTACAGTGGCAAATGTGATAATAATAAAAATGTGTAGAAGACTCCACTTTATTGTGTGATACAATTGACTGAATACTCCTTGTATGCAAACACATCCTTCTGGCCTGATGTTAAGCATTAGCATTGCTTGAGGATCATTATTTTTCTTAAAAAAAGACACAATTTTTCTCATACTACCATAAAATCCCTTATTCCTTTAAGGGGATGCTAGTCATGTTTGTATGCCTCACTGCTCTGTGATTTGGATAGCGTGTTCTTCCCTTTGTCTATTCAGATTATAATGTCTCTATGGGCTTATTTTTTGTCTTCTGTGTGAAAACAAATCCCCAAGCATTCCCCTCCCCCATTTATCACAATACAGAAATATAAATAATAATGGTACTCCTCTTTAGAAGACACATAGACAAACAACTCTGTGCCAAAATTTCTCTTCCTACTTGCTTTCATAGGTTTAGGACACAAAGACAGTTCTTTTGTAAATTTGATGTTAAGTCTGAGATCCAAGGCAGTTGTGGCTCTAATTTACTGTGTATGAACATATCTACAAATGTGTATTAATACGTATATATGTATAATTTTAGAAATGATGTGGGAATTACAACATCAGGAATGACATCTGAACAGTGTATGGGGTTAACACTTCTCAGGTGACCTTGGCTTAATTCATATTTCAGCTTTTGAATGCCTAATTCCACGGTTTTGACTGACTTTTTCTGTCCCAAATTTAGCTGACTGTTTAGGAAAGAATAAGTCTAGTTTCATTTTAGATGTAGTTTTTGGCTTTTCTTTCCAAAAGGATGGGAGTAGAGAATTTGAAGGCAGTTAGCATTGGTTATGGTCTCCAACAGAAATGCATGTATGTGTCAGATTAATTTTAGCAAATTATGTTAAATCCTATATTTTAGGGCTGAATCTCATCTCTTTGCTTTCTTCTTGTCCTTTTGAATACACTGAGTTTCTTTTGAGTATTTGACTTTTTGATTAAGTTTAGTTCTGTGTAAGTTATTAATTTTATCTAAACCTTTCAAAAGTTGTGTGCCTGCCGAAATCCACACTTTTATCGACAATTAATGGAATTTTCAGGGTAAGATTACAGTCATTTGGGATCTACAGATCAGAAGAGCCATAGATGGCTTTATTGCAGTGTGCATGGTAGTCTTGATGTGAAACACATGATATTCCTGCTGCTTCTCTGATCTCCATTTCTGCCTGGTAATATACCACTATGCCTTCTCAGGTAAAAAATGGGAATTAACTGTTTGTATGGACATGTGGATTTCAATAACACTGCTGGATTTGTTTTATTAACTACAATATGGACTAAAACATTTGAAGAGCACCAACACAGTCACCTGGGGAGAGAGTGTACAAGGAGATTTGGGCAACTCTGAAGTTGTTTCTGTGGATTTCAGCCTTCATGGACAAAACCAGTGTATATTTTAAGAAGAACTTTCAAGTAATTAGAATAGCCCCTATATTAAAAGTGTATTTTGCCCCAGAGTGTTTAATACTGTCCCACAAAGTGTTTAATTTTCTCTCAGTAATCTGGGAGAATATGTGATTGAGGGCAGAGGATACTTTGTGTAAGACTGCTGAGGATTCAGAATCAGTTCTCACATGCTCCAGCCTTTTTAATTCTAAACAAGTTGTGTGAATATTTAATATACTGTAGGCTCAAGGACATAAATGGTGTGCAACAAATAATTCATGCAACAAGCTTAGACTCTTTTCTGCTTCTTGAATCTCTGCAAAGGGGTGACCATTTACTGATGTAGAAATTCACTGAATCTTTTACACATTTTTTTGGTTGTCGTTGATATTGGTAGCACAGTAAATCTCATAGGGCAAGGTGGGCAAATTATCATTCTGATGCTAATGCTCCATAAGTTCTCTCATTGAATTTGACACAGTGACAGAATCATTAACAGCAGTCAACTTGATTTCGGCAGTTTACTGGAAGTAGTTTTTGTGGTTTTGTCATGTGTGACATTTGAATAATACACAGAATCACTTGGCATGGTTAATAATAATATTGCAATACATTTTTGTAATGGCTGTTGCTAAAATACGTGTATTGGCAACTTTCTCTGGTACCTACTCTATTCTCATCTCCCTGAAATAAAGTGTTTTATTTATTTGCAACACCTGGAGAACTATGAGAAGGATATTGTAAAAGCCCATCTGGGCAAGTGAGCAGTAGTAAAATAAATTATAGTGCTCAAAGGCCATACGCATGAAGTAAAAGTGGAGGAGCTTTTGGGTATCTGGCCATATATTTTCTAAAGATGCCTGCCTTGAAACAATAATGGTGCTAGGTTGGTTATAAATGATATGTGGTTCAGAAATGTAGTTCCTGAATTTTTTCTTTTGTTGTTTCACTCAAATGTTTTTTTTTCTACTGGTGCAGGCAGTCAATAAGAGATAAGCACTGATTCCTAAATGTTTATCAGTGACTTCAAATATCATTGGTAAAAATCTACTCACACTGTAAACAGTCATGTACCGTTTCTTTAGTCTCTCTCATGTTGTAAGGTCAGATCCACACTGGTGTGGTGAATGGCAGCTACCTTCCAAAGGTTTTGGTGCCAGCAGTGAATTCTTCTGCCTCTCTTCCTTGGCTCCTCATTTCTCAGGGTATTCTCATCCCCTACTCGTCTGTCAGCAGAACCAATTGTGGTCTTTGGTCCTCAACTCAATGATAACATGTTTTTTTCCTGAGAATTCTGGTCTGAATCCAGATTGGGTAGTTGGTTTTATCCTCTAAATCCACATGGAACCATCAAACCATTTTTTTTATTACATTTTTGCTTGGATTTTAGGATTTTTCCTGGGATTTGAGGATGCTCTCTGGGTAATACTGGCAAATCTTTCTTATAAAGCATTTGTTTTTTTCAATCCATTTCCACTCCTGTCTTTTCCTGTTTTCCAGCTGGCAAACTTTCTAAATCCTAAGTGAATACTGAAGGCAGGCATGATGATCGTGTTTACGTGATTTTTCAAACATGAAACAATCTCAGAAATTACATTGTCAAGCTCTCTGCTCCTGTGTAGAAAATGTTGCACTTCAACAAAGGTCTATGAGGAGAAATCTGTATAAGAAATGGAGGGTACTTCAAAGCAGCCAAAGCTTTATCAATACTTGAGTCCAAATAGCAACAGGAGTAATTATGCCATATACCCAGCACAGCACTTAAAAGTATGGTAACCCAGGGAATTATAAACTCTAGAAGAATGAAATTGGCAAAGAAACCTACTGAAGGAAAGAGAAAATTCTTTAAATGCAAAGAAAAAAAGGAAAAAAATCCTGTCTGAACCCTAAGATATTCTTAACTTTCTGCTTTTAACTACAGCTGTATCTTTCTGCTACACAGAAGAGAGGGTAACTTTTTTTTCTTTGAAAGGAAAAATACTTAAAAAAAGATCTCCCACATGAGCTTTTTAATTTTTATAATCTGCCTAGGAATATCTTTCTTCCTTCTGTAGTTTTTCAGCTGATTAGAAGCAAAACATGTGTTCTTACCAGCTTCCAGGATTTGTATTAATGGAAACAGCAGCAGATCCTGTTGTAATAAAGGACCATGGAGGTGCAGGAATATTTTTGGGGTCATTTAACTGCTTTCAGAGTCAGATATGTAAAAGTTGCCGTCAAGGTCAATCACCACAAAACTACCACAGCCTATAAAAAGTCACATGAACACACAGTTTCTTTAACTAGTCCCAAATTTCTGTGCCAAGAGAAACATTGTC